ATAAAGTAATAAATAAAGAGATTGTAGTTAACAACAACAATTTAAAAAAAAGTCAGAGCATAATGTAACAGTAAGTCCTAGGAAAGATTCAGGTATATGGTTTTTATTACCATAAGATGGGGCCTGGTTCCATAGACTCCACAACATGGCTCAATAATCTTGGAAGGTCTCCCAGGTTTTTGTGTTATTGTTCTGTTTTTCACATTCATAACGGAATCATGGTCCAGCATTTATAACCAATAGACCTAAATTAATAATGTAGACTGACCTGAAATAATAATACTTCTAGTCTTTTTTTTTTAGAAAGTTAACCTTGCTATTCAAGAATGTGCAAAGTATGCATAGACATATATAATGATGTTTTAAAAAATTAAGTTAATATTATTAACAATTTAAGGTGGGACTGAGGGCTGTGGCTCAGTAGTAAAATGCTTATACAAGAAGTCCTGGTTTTTTCCTGAGCACTGCAAACTATAAATGAGAATCTAAACTTTTTTTTTTTTAATTGGGGTAGAAGTAACAATGGAATTTTCAAAATAATTGTGCCTTTTCAAACTCTGTATGCTTTCTGAAATGTTGAAGAGAATTAATGTGTTAATAAGCTTTCTGTTTCCCTGACAAAATTCCTGACATAAACAATTTACAAGGAGGAAAGATTTCTTTGGGCTCATGGTTTCAGAGGCTTCAGTCTAGGGTCACAAGGCCCATCACTGTGGGCTTGTGGTGAGGCAGAACATAATGGCAGAACAAAGCTACTCACTTCCTGTTGGCCGGGAGGGAGAAGGAGAGGAAAAGTTAAGAGACAGATGGGGGAAAGAGAAGAGAAGGGGACAAGATAGCCCCTTCCGGGTCACACCACCAGGGATCTACTTCTTCCAACTAGGCCCTACCTTTGAAAGTTTCTACCACCTCCCAATAGTGCCACCAGCTGTGGACCAAGCCCTGAGTCTATGAGCCTTTGGGGGACATTCCAGATCCAATCTGACAATCAACTACATTAAGTTTGTGTTTGCAATTTGAAATGTTCAATAGGATGGGTTGCATTGCATTATTGTTGTTGCTATTATTATCAGTATTGGTGGTTACATAAACTCCCCCATTTACTATAGGGCAGAGGTGTCTTAAATGCCAGTTCCTACTGGTCTTTAGATTCCATCAGTCTTCTGATGGTAGACCTGACCTTGATGTGGAAGTGTGTCATGGGTCCAGGTGCCACTAGCTGCAGCTTTCATTTAGAAACAACGGTGCCAAATCTTCTACAGCTCGACTCTTCATTTTGGTTTTGCCATAGAAAGAGAAAGTGGACTTGGTGTGCTGGCCAATTTCAATTTTCATCACCGTTTTCCAGAGGGAGGCACCAGAATGGTTTCCATACTTATATGGATGATTCCAATCTTTTTGGTGCAAACTAAGACTGAGTCCAGAGAGCACGGGTGGTAAATATTTAGGGACACTTCATTTGTTCAATTTATTAGAGAATTTATAAAGAAAAAAAAAAGTACCTTGAATATCAAGGCTTAAAAAATAGCTTTTAGCTTGTACACTTTTTTAAAAAAATTGAATTATTTAAAATGTTAGTTACTAAGTACCCTTTTCCATATAGTTAATCCCTTGTTTATACATTAAATAATAAGCCAGCAGCAAGTATTACTGAGTAGGTATCTACACAAACATAAAAACATTGTTTCCCTGGAACTAGCTAGAAGGAGCTGAGGCAAGTAGCATGAAGGGGAGACGATAAGAAGGACAAAGAACAAAACACAGATCGGAAGCAAAGAGTAACTTAGCTATAGGCAACCTGTTTATTTATGAGAAAATCATTGTTTTGGATAACTAGATCCCTGAAGCCAGTGCTTCACAAAGGCAAGGATTTTGTCTATTTTATCCACTACTGTAGGTTTGTAGTTTTCCTCTGTGTCTGGCTTGTAATTTGCCTTCAAAAAAAAAATTTTTTTTTTTTTTAATTACTGGGGATTGAACCCAGGGGTGCTCTACCACTGAGCTACATCCACAGCCCTTTTAATTAATTAATTAATTTAATTTTTATGCCAGGGTCTTGCAGGGCACTGTGATGCATGCCTGTAATCCCAGTGGCTCAGGAGACTGAGTCAGGAGGATAGCAAGTTGAAGACCAAATGTAGCAATTTAGCAAAATCCTAATCAATTTAGTAAGGCCCTGCCTTAAAATAAATAGGACTGGGGATGTACTTAATGGTAAAGTACCTGTGGATCCAATCCCTGGTACAAAAAAAAAAAAAAAAAGAAAGAAAGAAAGAAAAGAAAAGAAAGAAAAAGGAAAGAAAGAAAGAAAAGACAGGTACTTGCAAGTCTGGTACTGGCCTCTTGCAATCCTCCTGACTCAGCCTTCTGAGTGCCTGGGATTACAGGCATATGCCACCATGCCCAGTTACCTTTAAATAATTTTGTTGACTAAATAAAATTGAATTTCAGAACTACCTAGATTACAGATTCATGGGCACCTCCTATGGAACAGGATCCCTAGGAATGTGGAGACTGTGATTTTTTTTTTTTTTTCATGGAAGTTGTCTTTGGCCCTGAACTCCTGTGCTGTTAGCTGGAACTAGACATGTGCCAATATACTCAGTTCTGGAATTTGAATTCCTTGCACACCATCTCTGTCATAAGCCTCTCTGTTAAAGTCAGAGGACCCCTGAAGTCTCTTCACTTTGCCAGAGAGAAAATTCAGGCTACATGTCTTGTTCAGGTTCCCATGGATTACACCAAAAAGTAGAGTCTAAATTGCCAATCTCTGAAAAGTTCACTGGTTTGTTTACTTTCTTTAGCTTTCAATGTATGGAAAACAATCCAGCTTCCAGGTTGTTTCCCCTGATGGGTGGCTTGGGGTCCATTTCTGTATGGCTCCTCTCAGCAGCATTTCAGATGGCATGTTTTCAGAGCAGTCCCCAGCTTATATTTCTAATAAAAAAAAAAAAAAACCTAACTTTTAGAATTTTTGTCAGTGTCCATGAACTTCTAATGTTTTCTTACTTCACATGGTGGAGGAAAAGTTTATTCCACCTAACTAGGACCTTCAGACTTACTTCATCTTTTTTGCTCCTAAGCTCTTCCTTGTTTCCTAAGTGGAATCCATTTTCATATGCCATTGTGTTCCCTTAGGAAATACCAGAATCTTATGCTACTATAATAGTAAAGTGGTGGGAAGAGGACATCTTCACTTGTAGGCCAGCGTCCTCAGGAGTTTCATTAAAAGGCATGATGTGATAGGGCTCCGGTAAAGCTTGCTTTGCTTCTCCAATTTCCTGAGCCTGCTGAAAATGCTAAGCAGACAAACTATACGAATGAGTTAGGCTTATTTTTCAGTTCGTGAAAGACAAGATCACTTTGTAGAGAAATTTGACATTGGAGAAATTTAAGGTTGAATAGGACACAGTGTGACAACTGTAATCCCAGCAACTCTGGAGGCTGGGACAGGAGGATTATGCATTCCAGGCCAGCCTGAGCAACTTAGTCTCAAAATAAAAAGTAAACATAGATAGATAGATGGATAGATAGATAGATCCATCGATAGATAGATCGATCGATCGATCGAACCCAGGGTTTAACTCAGTGGTAAAGTGTGCAGGGTTCAATTTCCAGTACCATAAATAAATATATAAATAAATAAGAAGAAAGGAATAAATAAATATGACGTTGTTGCGATGCACGGTGGAACCTCGGCTACCTTTGGACATTTCCTTCTGTCTATAGTTCACATATTTGCCATTTTGTATGGCATAATTTGACGTGAACATACTCTATATACAGAGTTACAAAAAATGTAACTGTGAATGGATAATTATGAATGTAATGCACTCCACTATTGTCATGTATGTAAGAAATAAATAAAAAATAAATTAAAATAAATAAAAAAACAATATGATCACTAATTGATTGACAAGCAATTTCAACATATTCCAATATATTTAACCTAAAGCAGTAAAGTAGCATGAAGTGAGTAGACCACATGGTTTTCATAGCACAGTTCTATCAGAAATGCTCACTTTGGTCAGAACGAATGGGCTTAATCTCATTTTTTAAAAATTGTCAGCACCAGCAAAACTTTCGGAAAAGAGTTCCATGACTTCAAAAAATAAAAATAAAATAAAATAATGGGGCTGGGGATGTGGCTCAAGCGGTAGCGCGCTCGCCTGGCATGCGTGCGGCCGGGGTTTGATCCTCAGCACCACATACAAACAAAGATGTTGTGTCTGCCGAAAAATAAAAAATAAATATTAAAAAAAAAATTCTCTAAAAAAAAAAAAAAAAAAAACCAGCCGTCTGCATTGTTGGGCTACATGATCAATCTTGGCCATTTCACCTGCAGAAGCGCTAAACGGATGACTCAGGGGAAGAACCCCAGGGAGGCCAAGCGAACTAAGCCTCTGTGGTCCTTCCAGCAGAGTCTCAGATCTGGTTTCTCAGCTTCACTCTCGCCAGACAGATTGGGCTTCCTGGAGTGTGGCAGGGTGCGACCAAATGGCCAGCCCTCCCAAAACCCCACGCCCTTCCCAGGGAACAGACCTAGAAGTTACCGGTTCTTACAGACCCCGCCTGCCCCGGTAGCCGAGACCAAGAGGTCCAGCCTGGTCCCTGGGAGGCGGTCCGTCGAAAGCCCAGAAGACCATGCTGAACCGCACGCTTGTGTCACCCTGGGTTGACTGTACCGACTTCCGAGGGTCCCGCACTCTGAGACACGCCTTCATCCCCGGGGACCACCCCGAGGTCCCCAGACGCCGCCCCGCCTCCGGTCCCCGCCCCGAGCCCCCGAAGCGCTTAGACTTCAGCCTGCGCGCGACTGAGTCCGGACACCGCTCCAGCCCGACGCCCCAGGGACACAGATCCGGACGCGCGGGCTGCGCGGAGTCCGCTCACCTCGGTGGCCGCTATCCCAGTCCTACTGGGATAGGGCTGCAGACCCTCCGAACCCGTCTCAGCATCCCTCCTGTGCCTTTTGCACTTCTTCTCCAGGCGCAAAGGACATGCGACCAGCTAAGCCAGGCTCTCCGCTGCCGGCGCTCCTCTTGTTGGCGCTGGCTTTGTCCCCGCCAGGGACCCAGGGAAGGCCCCGGGGGCGCAGAGCAGCTCCTGTCGTCTCAGAGCCCAAACCGTTGCTTTTCCTCCCTGCAGCGGGGACGCGCCCGGCTCCTAGCGCCTCCAGGAGCTCAGGTAAGTCGTCGCAGTCCCATCCCATCCTTTGCCTGAGCCTGGGTCCGTGTGGAGTACCTTTGGAACTGTGTAAGACATTTGCTCTTCGAAGCCTGAATCAAGCACAACAGAGAACAGACTGCAGATTCCCTGTCGGGGAAAGAAAGATGGGATGGGCTTATTAGATTTACCATGGTTGAGACTTAAATAACAAAATCCCTGGGGCAAAGACATCGTCTTTATACGCCCCTTTCCAGGTGTGGAAACCTTTTTGGAAATCAACTGATAGAGCAGATGAAAAACCTGGGCTTGAGTCTCATGGGCCAAGGATAGTGGATGGATTATGTAATTGTCAGAGCCTCCTTTCTGGGTCTTTTTTTTTTTGGGGGGGGGTTGAGAATTAACTAACCTAACTGCCCTCAGAGACCCATTATGCAGGAATGCCCCTCTCCTTCCCCTTCAAGCTGGCCATAGTAAATGGGTGATTAACACCACTTTCCACGGGCTGCTGTGGCTGGTGTTAATGGAACCTTTCCTGAGTCTGCTTAGAAGGGTGGCAAATGCTGCCAACTGCTCCCAAATCAACACTGGACACTTTATACTTAGATGCCTAAGAAGGTGGGAGGAATGACAAGGGAAAAAAAAACTGCCACTATATAGGGTCATGAGACACCCAAAGGTTCAGAAGACGTTGTGTGACTGAGGAGGAAAAGAGAAAAGCCCAGTGAATAGGTCTGGGGCAGCTGGGCTGATGTTGGGAATGGGAGTGGCAGGAGGAGTACAGGATGCATGGCAGGAAGCAAGGTGAGGAGGGAAAAAGAGAGAAGCTATTTAAAGTGACTCAGGTCACATCCTGCACAAACTAAGCAAGGTGGAATTGCTGGCAGAAATTGAAAGCAAGTGGTTCCATCTTCAGAGCCACTTGGTGGCCTGCACCCGGAAAGACCAAGCCCAGGGTGCATCTTCCAACTGGTTCCACCTGTTGGTCATGCCATAGTTCGCAAGGATTCTTCTGCCTCATACTTAACTTTTAAGAAAGCCAAGAGGGATTCCTAGTACCCTGCTTGGTTTTGTGGTACTGTAGATTGAACACAGAGCCTCATGCACGCTAGGCAAGTTCTCTACCACTGAGCTGCATTCCCAGCTCTTTATAAAATTTCATATTGAGGTCAGGCATGGTAGCACATGATGTAGTCCCAGTAGCTCAGGAGGTAAAGGCAGGATGATTGGGAGTTCAAAGCCAGCCTCAGCAACAAAGCAAGGCCCTAAGCAACTTAGTGAGACCCTCTCAAATTAAGAACTAAAAAGGGCTGGGGACGTGGTTCAGTGGTTGAACGCCCCTATGTTCCATCCCTGGCACCAAATAATAATAATATAATAATAATAATAATTTTTTTTTCACTCTGAGACAGTCTCACTACGGTGCCCAGGCTGGCTTTGAACTTCTGATCCTCCTATCTCCTGAGTAGCTAGGCTTACAGGTGTGCATCGCCACATCCAGCTCTACTTTTCTTTCATAAGAGTTATGACATCATATGTATACTTATTCATTCCACAAATGGCCACCTGTCTTTACATGGCAGTCGTTATGTAGAGGGCTGAGGCTACCCAGAGCAACCAGCAGCTAGATGTCTGCTGTTTCCAGTATGCTCAGGGTGTGGAGGGAGGGGAAGGCTTGAGCATACATACACTGAATGAGCAAAATGTTCTGCAGAATTCCCAGAGTGAATCAGAGGGAGGTGATGGGGAGGCTGAGATGGATCTGAGAAGAGTGTGTGGAGGACCTGGGTGAAGACTTTCAGTCTCACTGGCAGGTAGAAAGCCCTCAAGAAGGGGTGGAGTGGGATAGTGACCACAGCAGGGGGATGCCATGTTGCTGCCACACACGATCATATACTTCAACTTACAATCATTGTTCACCCAAGTATTTATCTCAGATGATGCTGTGTCAGTTTGGAATGTAAAAGGAGTGGGAGAAAGTCGCAACCACAGAGCATTTATGGAAATACATTAATTCAGATCTTGTGTTTAATTTAAGTCTTTTTGGTTAAAGACAATGAAAACTTACTGAAGTGAATTAAGAGGAAGAAAACAGAATATTTTATTCCAAGTTAAAAGTGGTAACAATCTGATGCTGTGCGTGGTGGCCCACGCCTGTAATCCTAGTGCCTCTGAAGGATGAGGCAGGAAGATTGCAAGTTCAAAGCCAATCTCAGCAACTTGTCAAGGCCCTAATCAACTTAGTGAGACTCTGTCTCTAAATAAAATATAAAAAGGGCTGGGGGGATGTGGCTTAGTAAGTGGCCCTGGGGTCAATCGCCAGGACCAAAAAAAAAAAAATGTGGTAACAATCTAAAGTTGTTGTTTAAATTTTTATTTTTTTGTTTGTTTGTTTCTTTTTGTACCAGGGATTAAACCCAGAGGCGCTTAACCACTAAGCCACATCCCCAGCCGTTTTTATATTTTATTTTGAAATAGTGTCTTACTAAGTTGCTGAGGCTAGCTTGGAACTTGTGATCCTCTTGCCTCAGCCTCCAAAGCTGCTGGGATTACAGGCATGTGCCACTGTGACCAGCAATAATCTAAAGTTTTAAAAATCAACATAGTCTGATAGAAAGTGACCTGTGGGTCACCCAAAGTCCCTTGCTTTCTCTGCCTGTTTGTAGTGGTCTCATCTTTTGATTATGGCACTTTATTCATATGGGGAGAACAAGAGTGGCACATTACATCTGAAGTTGCCTGTGAAAGGAACATTTGGACATGGATCAGGGACAAACAAGCACATGAATATAGAGAGGACAAGGACCCATCTGGAGGGTCTCATAGGAAATGCTCAAAGGGTAGTAGGTGTCTTAGCTTATTCAAGAGGAAACATCTCCCAAGTGTGGAGGTTAAGGATCTCTCACCTGTGCCAGATGTGTCTGGAATTCTGTCCCCAGGATTCTGCAGCATAATAAGCACCATCATGTACATGCTCTGGGTTCTGAAATCTCTGCTGTGGGCATGTAAGTAGAAAAAACTAACTCAGGCTCAGTTTCTTCTCCTACTAGCCTCACAACACAGATCACTTCTGACATCAGATGCATTGGTTTTCCCCCACACCAAGCAAGCAGTTGATTCTGCAGGGTACACCAGCTGAGTATCCTTTAATCCAATTCACTTTCTATCTGGAGACAGTGTCAGATCCCTCAGGTCTAAGACCCAGTCCCTAAAACTGAACCTCTCGTCAGATGCCTGTGTGAAGCCCCAGGTCATTTTACCAGCGCTTCTGACTGACCAGCTACTACCAGTCAGTGTTCCTGCTACTCCCTGTTCGGGTTCCATTAATTGTCTAAGTGGCTGTCAAGGAAACATGTTTACCAATTCATGGAGAGTTCACTACCTCGTCATGATTGATTAAATCACTGGCCATTGGTGGTCAATTTCATCTTTAGCCTCTGCTCCCTCCCTGGGCGTTGAGAGAGAATGAAAGTCCCAATCATCTTGTCCTGCCTTGGTCTTTCTGGCAACTAGCCCCTATCCTGAAGCTACCTGAGGACTACCAGCCCTCAATCAACTCAGGAGCATGCAAATGCATATTATCACTTCAGAGATTTCAAGGACTTTAGGATTTGTATTCCAGGGAGTCCAAACGAATATTTCACAATATCACAGTGTAGAGTGCTTTCTTCCTTCTCAGGCAACTTCTTTACACTCACAGGTAAGGCTGGAGGTGAGAGGATCATAACCAGGCTGAGGGAGCAGTAAATATGAAAACTGGAGTCAAGACGTGGACAACATGCAGTTACTCTCAAGGTTGTAGTTGGGGTGGAGGGGAGGTGTGAGCTTTGGGTTCCAGGAGCACATGCAGTTCATCATCCTTGGCTGTCCTTCCTCCCCACAATGCATTCACTGTTCATGCACATATTCAGCCATTTATTCAGCCACTCAACACGCATTGGCAGTCACTGATAGGCTTGGGATTGTAAAGTTCACCAATTTTTTTTTTTTTTTTAACTTGCTCTTATGGAGTTTAGGTCAGCTGAGGAATCCTGCCAAGTTCTAGAGTTTGGGTCATCCTTTTCATTGTCCTTTCTGCCATCTTACTCCAAGCTCTCATGAGGGTGTTATAAGGACCTTCTATATTGTCTCCCTAACTTATTTAGTAGCCCACCATTATGTTTTTATTGGGATAAGGATCAGGAAGTGTGGGTTTTCATTCCCTTTATTCCCACCCTCTTGTTCCTGTTTCCTCCCCCTGTCCTTTACTCTGAGCATCGCATCAGCAGAGGGAATAGAGGAGGAATTCCACCTCAAACTACCAGAAGAAAAAGGGTATTAGATGGGTTGGGGATGTGTCTCAGTGGTGGAGGGTTTGCATGCATGAGACCCTGTATTTGATCCCCAGCACTGCCCAAAAAAGGGGGGCATTGGAAATCTCACCCATCGGAACACAGAAAATCAGAGGCTGAGAAATGGGCCCTAATGCCAAGAGAAAGGAGGTTTCAAGGAGATTGAGAAGAGATGAGATGTGGGGAGAGGGAACCGTAATGGGAACTGTTGGAAAGTTTTAATGTATTATTGCATCTCCTTTTGCAACCTCGTTTCAAGAGATGTCAGTAAACATTGACGTTGTTTCTGTAGACTTTCTGGAGTCAGATTTGTGTTGTTGTTTTAGTGTAAAACTTTACTGAAATGGAGCTTAGCGAAAAATTGTGAAGATTGATTTGGTGAGGTTATTTTGAACAATTGCAAATAAACATTTTAATAAGTAGTGTGGATGGAGCTGGTCTTTCTGCAGTCACAAATCTAGAGTGGTTTCTTCATTTTCCAAGAAAGTTCTAATTCCATTTGAAGGCAGGACATTCATGCTCACTTTGTGACTGTCCTTTGGCTCTGACAGGGCTGCCTCCAGTGCCTCTGTGCCAGTGACAGTCTTAGTACTTGCTCCTTACAGATGCCATTCCGGCTCTGCGTCTGATATTTTGCTGTGTTCTAAAATGCACTTCTCTCATCTTTTCATATGGAATACTGTTCTATCT